GTGGGTGATGGAGGGTGGGTGATGGAGGGTGGGTGATGGAGGGTGGATGGATGGATGAGTGGATGGATAGAGGGCGGATGGATGGGTGGGTGGATGGATAGAGGGCGGATGGATGGATGGATGGGTGGGTGGATGGATGGATGGAGGTGGATGAGTGGATGGAGGGTAGGTGATGGGTACCTGGATGGATGGATAGGAGGGGGAGGAGGGATGGGTGGGTGAGCGATAGACAGGTAGTGGTGGTGAGAGGGAGGGAAGGAGGGGGACATAGGAGTCCTAGCTCAGAGTCCTGGAGAACTTCTCACGCTCTGTGGGTTCCGTTTTAAGTGGCTTGGTTCTGAGTCTTTTGCCTTTTCTCTGAAGACTCTGGAGCTTCTCCACTCACACTGCCCTGGGCCCAGGTATCTTGCAGGACAGAAGGAAAGCTGGGGTGGGGCAGCCATGTTTCAGCAAAGTCCCCACCGAGGTGGTCATAGCCTTGGGCCTGGTCCCGGCCGTGGACGGTGGGGCCCTCAGGCCGTGCACCTTCCTGCGGGCCTCCCGCGAGTTCCTGTTGTGTGACTGACCTGGTTGCACAGGGAACACCCAAGGCTGTGTGTGTGTGCAGAAGGGTGTCCTCTGGCCAGCACTCGGAAGGCCAGGCCAGCAGGAGCCCCATGGAGCAGAGGACAGCTGACACCTCTAGGAAGGCTTACTGGGCCCATGAACGAGGTCCACTCCACCCCGGGCTGGGCTGGCGGCTCGGCCTGTCGTCCCGCCCGTCATCAGCTGCTCTCTGGGAACCTGCCAGTGGCCCGGCCCTGTTTCGCTGAGGATGAGGAGGATCACTTAAACCTGGCCCCCCTTTGAGGGGACCAGCAAGGGCCATTGACACACAGCAATTCAGGCCTGTGTCAGTGTTGTGCAGGGCCAGCTCTGGACGCAGGAGGGAGGCCCTGGCCAGAGAGAGGCCCATGGGTGGAGCCAGGACCCCTTCAGGCCCACAGCTAGAAGGTCCTGGTCACTGGACGGAGGAGCCGGGGCCCAGGGCCCTGGTCCTCAGCCTGCATGGCCAGCTTCTCCCCGTGCTGTTGGTGACGACGGTGCAGCCTCCTTGCCCTTCTTCCAGTGGTGACAGGGCAATCCCCGTGTGGTTCCTTGGCCGTGACAGTCCAGGGAGATGGGCAGGACTTCTCTTCTTGGCAGGAAGAGAGGCCACGGAGGCTAGTGGCCTCGTGGGAAGCTGGTGGGGGCTCCGTCCGCCATCTGAGCGTGGCGGTGAGCTGCTGTGCGCCGTGTGGGCCCCACGGCCCGCCCTCCCCGCTGTCTCAGGTGCTTCTCTTCCTGAGCTTGTGCCTGCCCCGGGTCTCTGTGCCTGTGCCTCTGCCCCGACTCTCCTTCTCCCTCCCTCTTCCTTCCCACACCCCCATCTCTGTCGTCCGTCTCTCTGGCTCCCTCTCTCTCCTTCCCCCTCTCGTGACCTGGCTGAAGGGAACGGTGCTGTAGAGCAGGCCACTCTCCCTCCCCAGAGGCCCAGCCCGGCTCCAGTGGGGCCTGCTCACGTCCCAGCTTGCACAGGGACGCCCCTTGTCATCTGCACAGGGACGCCCCTTGTCATCTGCACGGCCCGACTCAGGGTGCCTCACAGGGGCCACTTGTGCACCTCAGGCCTCTGTGCTGAGCCCCTCGGTTCCTGCAGTGACCTGGGAGGGGGGACCGCACCCTCATCCTCTGTACAGCACAGGGGCCCTCCCGCTGCCCAGGCCCAGTGGAGCTCACACCCACATCAGAGCCGGCTCCGACTCCCCGCAGACCGCTGGGCAGGGTAGGGACACCTGTGTGTCCCGATTCTTCCCGATAGCCACGGGGGGTGCACGGCAGGGCTCTGTGGAACCCAAGACCACCCTGGCTCTGCCCAGGGCTCCCGTCCCTGCCTCTCAGAGCCGTGCGCACTGACTGGACGGAGCCTTCTCAGAGCTGCAGAGCCCCAGAGGGAGAAATCCCCTGGAGGACAGCTCCCCAGGCCGGACCCCCGACCCGAGGGCCACATTTCATTCTCCAAGACGTGCTTGGAGGAATCTTGACCGTCAGCTCTGGGCCTCTGGGTCAGTGGGCAGGACTTCTCAGCTTGAGATGCCACAGCCGCAGCCACCAACTGGGCAGCTGGCCAACACTCACTGCCTCAGTTCTGGAGGCCAGAGGCCGAAGGCCAGGGTGCTGCCCCTCGGCCGGCTCCCTGTGGGGACTCTCTCTTCCTGGCTTGCAGCCAGCCCCTCTGGTGGCACCTCCTCCTGGTAGCACAAAGACCTCTGGTGTCGGTCCCTCATGGTAAGGGCACTAGTCCCAGCAGCAGGGACTCATGACCTCACTTAACCCCGATGGCTTCGGGGAGCCTCGGCCTCAAGTACAGTCTCCAGAGGTTCCGCGTCCACAGGTGAATCTGAGGTCCCTAGTAGAGGGACGGTGGTCTCACGTCTCCAGGGCAGAATCGGGCAGGACTGCCCCCTCCACTCCAGCTTTTACATAAACGTCAGGAAGAGGGTGAGAGTAGGAGCAGCACAGAGCCCCAGCCCTGCCCTCCTCCCCGCTGCAGGCAGAGGTGGTCCCGGCCCACGGTGGGAGGACTCTGAGGGTTCCTGGGACCGTCCCCACACACCTTTCACAGACCTGGAGGCCTCTTGCTGCCCGTGGTGGCCCCTGAGACACCTGGACCTCCTTCCCTTCTGGTGGGTCGGATCGTCCATCTCTGAGGGTGAATCCAGCCCTCACCTACCCGCCTGGCCCTGCTCAAGACGGCTGTGGGGTCCAGAGGCCTCACAGCCACCTGACCCCCTCCTGCCAGCTGGGTGACACTGGGCACAGTGCCAGGCCTCTGGCCTCGGGGCCACCGGTGAGGCCCGCAGCTCTGAGCACTGTGTGGCGGCCGGTGGGCCCTTTGGGGGTTACAGAACCTGGCCTTCCTGGGCCGGTTGGGCCCGGGCCGATGGGTGCAGGGCACAGAGGTCTCCTCCCCGATTGTCAGGTGGGCGCAGTGGGACCTCAGCCCAACAGGGAGCCCGACACACTAGTTACGGACCACCTCCCGCCCCCGCCCCTGCCCTCCAGGGACTGTGGGAAGTCACCGAGGCTCAGAGTGTCCCTTGGCCAGCACTGTGACCTGGGACTCTGTTTGGGAGGTGGCTTGGCCTAGGGAACAGGCCTGAGCGAGGAGAGAGGCAGCCGCTCTGCTCCCTGCAGCTGGAGGGTGCGGCCTGGCGCGGGCGGGGGTGAAGGTGGGCGAGGGCTGCCCACACCGTGGGAGTCGGCCTTGGCCAGCCTTCCCAGCGCGGTCCTGGGGCCTCCTCCCTGGGCACGAGAGGCTTCCCATCCACCAGGCTCATTACCGTCCCTGCCTGAGCCTGGGGGAGGCAGGGCGTGCCCGTCTCGTTTATTGCAACTCACTCTGTTAATCGAGGGCCCATCTCTGGAGACAGACCTCGAGCTATTTTTGCACCCGTGAGGATTTTTTTCTTTTTTCTTTTTCTTTTTTTAATTTGCCATTGACATTTCTCTGCTGGAAACCCTGGCGGGTTTGTGACTTCCATAGAGAAGGTCTGGTGCGTGACGGGTGAGCCCACGCGGAGAGGCCGCGCGGTGCCGGCACCGTGGGTCAGTTCCACGTCGGGCGGCCAGGTGGGGGATGCCAAAGCCTGCCAGGGTCGGCCGGTGCTCAGCGAGTGCTGACGGCGAGGTGACGTGACGGGGGCCAAGGCCAGCAGCTCCGAGCACTCGGTGGGAGGCAGCCTTGGGGTGCCAGCTTCACCTGCCCCCCTCTTCCTGCAGCTCCTGTACGAGGAGTGGGCGAGCTATGGGGTCTTCTACAAGTACCAGCCCATCGACCTGGTCAGGTAAGCGGGCTCCGCGGGCCTGGCCCTGGCTGTGGGAAGCGGTGGCTGGCTGGATGTCGTGGGGGGAAGTCCCCGAGGTGAATATTCAGTCACCTGGGAACCTGTTGGGACTCGAAGCTGCGTGGGAGGCTCGGCGTGTGACCAGCCAGCGCTGGGGCAGCAGCTTCTTTACTCGCTGGAGGATGGACGTCCTGTGTCACATCCAGTCTCTGCTGCCCCCCTGGCCGCGCCCAAGGACCTCTGTCCCTGCAAGGCAGGAAGGGACCCGTCGGCTCAGGCAGCGTGTCCTGTGGGGACGTGACAGAGTGTGGCCGGTGGAGACTGACTCAGCCACCAGGAGCCCCCGGGCGATGGGTGTGGCAGGTCTTCTCCCCTCCAGGCCCACGTCCACTCCAGGGCTCAAGGCTCGGGGAACACCGTGTGCCCACCAGTGTGGCCTGCACAAGCACAGTGCCCCTTCCCAGGGCCCAAAAGAGGCGGGTGATACCCACCGAGAGCGGCCCCCCACACACACCTGGGGAGGTTTTTTGAGCCCCATGCTGCCTGCGGGATGAGAAGTGGCCCGGGAGAGCTTTCCCTCTGGGGAGGGACGCGCCTTCTTTCCGGGCGGTGGGCGGAGGAGGAGCTGCGGCCTCTGTCTGTCTGCTCTGGGCAGGAAGTACTTCGGGGAGAAGATCGGCCTGTACTTCGCCTGGCTGGGCGCCTACACCCAGATGCTCATCCCGGCCTCCGTCGTGGGTGTCATCGTGTTCCTCTACGGCTGCGCCACCATGGACGAGAACATCCCCAGGTGGGCACAGCCCCGCCCAGGAGCAGGGTCCAGTGGGAGGCTGGCCTCACAGCCTCCCGCGCTCAGCCCCCGGGGACCTCAAGGGCGCCTGGGCGGCCGCCATCTACAGACTCAGAGCTGCGTCCGTGTGTGGGCACCTTCCTGGGCACCCTCGCTGAGTCGGGGCGTGAGGTCAACGCCAGGCCCGCTCTCGTGTTTGGAAGGACTTGTCATTTGGGGTCAGGAAGGGATTCCGGCCTTGGTGCCGCCCGGAGAGCACCCTGACCCCACGGCCGCCTCTGAGCGGTGCCTGCGCTGTCACCCCCAGGGCCCAGCCACAGCCGAGTTCAGCCCACGCAGGTCTCTGGGTGGACCCCCGTGCCTCCCTGGGCACCGAGGACTGTGCCAGGCCTGGGGAGCCCTGGGAAGGCGGCCAGGACCCCAGAGACACCAGCCTGGCTGGGGGGCCGTTCTCCCGGCACCTCCGCCTCCCCTGTGTCGCTGGACTGGCCACAGCCACCCCTGTGCCCGGCAGTGGTGCGCCCAGGCCCCCGCTGTCAGGGCGCCAGGCCCGGGCCCTCTGTTCTCAGGCCTCTGTGTGCAGCCCTCGCGGGGACCCAGGTCCTCACGGGGCCCGACTCGCTGGCCTCGCAGGACCCTGTGTCTCAGCCAGTCCTGATGCCAGCTGGTGGCTTCCTGGTGACTCTGCCAGGTTCCTCTGACACAGCCGTGGGCTGGAGAGCCACCGAGTCGTCCAGCCCATGAACAGGCTGGCTCTCGGAAGCCCAGAGAGGCCACAGCCCACCGGCTGTGCTTCAGGAGGTTTTGATCCATGAACGACACCTGAACTATTCCACCCGCCCGGCGGAGCTCGCGGGCGCTCGGCCCAGGCCCTCGGTGCTGTCCTGACCCTGGGCAGGGGGCGCTTGACCTTTCTTTTTGAGGACGGTGTGAGGCCCCTGCACCCGTTTGGCCATGGTGACCATCTCTGAAGCCCAGCCCCGGGGGATGCTGGGGCTGGCCTCGGGCAGCAAGGGCAGGGCAGGGAGAGAGTGTCCGCGGGCGCCCTGGAGCAGGCCAGGTGAGTCTCCGGCTCCTTCCTTCCTGCGGGCGGAGACTGCCAGCTCGGGCGTGGACTGCCCAGGAAAGGGTCCAAGATCCCCTGGCTGTGCCAGCTCGGCCGCCATCACGTGGTCAGAAACGCGGTGACTCAGGGGGGTTGGCAAGCGGGGCCAGAAGTCCCCACCCAGCCTCTCCTGGTGCTGTGCCCGGAAGGGGAGGCCCCGCAGGCTCCCCAGGCTGCCTGCAGGGAAGCCCAGACTCCAGCCTCCCTGGGAACACCTCCACCCTCCACCTCCACCTCCAACCTCCACCCTCCACCTCCACC